GATGCCGCCATGAGTTGCGTAGCTGGACTTGAACCCGAAATGAACGACGTGACTCCGTTTTATCAACGGTATAGCTGTGATTTAGTAGCAGAGGAACAGCTCACATGTTTTCAACCTGAACAGTTTATTTGCCTCGCTTTGGTGGGTTCCTGGCATACTACACAGTTGAAATCGTGGGTTGGAGATGGAGGTTAGGCTCCAAAACCAGCTGTAGTTCACACAATTTGCCTTTTGTCGGTTCTGCTAAAGACCATTAACAATAACGTATTTTATTGATTGGGCATTAAATTAATTATAAACCTTACATATCGACTGGACTCCACTTAACCCTTTCGCGAACGAAAACTCTTGACCTGACTATATTACAGTTTAAAGGTCAAGTCATTAGGCCATCAAAGTAGTACCGTAGTTTTTGAAAGGGGGGATATTGTTTAATTATACGCTTTATTACGAACGCAATTGCTCACACCATATAGTGTTGGGCCGTATCTATCACAAAGCAATACATCCATAATACGCGAAAATCTCACTTTATTGCGCGTGTGGATAAATTCTCGTGCGAATAGTTCATTATTGTATTAATAGGTACACGAATCGTAGTGCAGTTGCTGCAGCGAAGCACCTTGTCGTAGGGTCGAGATACACAATGAGATGTGGACGGGTGCGTCCGTATCCAAGGTTACGGTACTTAAATATGATACCAAAATATGGATACAAGTGATGGTGAGTTTACGGGACGATAATAGTGAATACTGTACCATCAACACGGCCAGTTAGGATGCACACGACTTTGGCACGCTAGCCAATATGAACTTCTGATTGGTTGAAAATGAGGTGTATGGCTTGACATGGGGAACGGGGAGTCGCACAATTTGAACCAAACAGCCGAGGCTGGGCTCCATTTAAGATAAATACAGTAACAATTAAGAAAAAAGTGCATAATATAACGATTGACGTTGGAACTAATCACTCTCCTAACAGAAATTGGGTACAAGTACCCTTATAATGTCGCACTGGTATGGGGATTGAGCAAACGCGTTCAATGGTCATTGCATAATCTAATCTACCTATCGTGCCTAGATAATCGTCCAACGGGCCCCAGGTTGGGTCAGTGGCGAGTCATATTTTTACTGGACGGTGTCGCTATCATTCTTCAATTTTCTCTTGAAGAGGAAAACTACCCTCACCTTGTCCAAGAAACCGCACTAGTTTTCCAAATCGGTCGAAGACATGCGTCCATCTTACACTATTTTCACGGTCGTGGTCGCCATGCTCTTTGCAAGTTCCAACGCTGTCATGACCAGCCGTCGTGACCAAGTCAAGCTCTCCGGAGTTGGTTCACCTGACCACGTTCAGTCCACGGAGACAAACACGGACATCAACCGGTTTCTGAGAAGTGTCGATGACCAGGAAGATAATGAAGACAGCGAAGACAGTGAAGAGAGAGGATTCGAGAAATATTTCAAAATGTGGCACAAAAATGGAATGACCTCTGCTGCCATCAAGGACGACCTTGGCATTGCCGGTCTCAAGTTTCGATATGGAAAGGGGTCCGCCAAACTTAAAGCGAGGGAGGAGTATCAAAAGTGGAAGGGTTACAAGGAGTATCTGAAGGAAAACCCGCTGCCCTAACAGCAATTAACAGGCATGCTTCTTTCGAGCTGAGGTAACGGAATGAATGGAACCGACATTTCTTCTCAACAGTAAAGTTTGCTCTACTTTCGGGGTTACGTAGTTCTGTTTGTTTGTTTGTTTTTTTTTTTTTTGAAAAAATCGAAGTGATGAGATGGTTCTCTTGCTCAATTTCAGTTTCTAGAGTTGAGAGATACATCCTATGCTAATAGTCCGTCCTGATTGCCTCGGAATGTCCACAATACAACGTTATGCTTTTAATGAGAAAGAAGAAAAAGAAGATTGATCCTTCAAGCTTTCGATATGAAATACTTATACATTCAACTTGTTTATGAGAGTTCGTACCACCGCTGACTCAGCTCAAGGTTGTAGTGGTAAAGTGGTCATCTACTTATGGTTTTGAACTTATAGACTCCTGAATTCGCTAGGGAAGTCCGGTGATGCCGGGGATGTAAGGACCTGAAATTAGGAGGAGGAACTTAAAACTTCTTGATGGTGCTTGGATATCGTGGATACTCTCATTCAGCTCAAGGATTTCTCAACCGTACGATGCAACTATCTTATATCACAAAGACTA